GAAGCCTCTGAAATCCCGGCGCTTCCAAGCACGCCATCAGATCAGCAAATCCATCAGGAGAACAAGCCTTTTGCTCCCGCTGCACACTGGGGAGGCACCACGGCTTGGTGTTTAGACCTGTGTCAATTGATTTTTTTTTTTTCCCCCAGACCTCTAAGTGACAGACTGGGCATCTCTCTAAGTCTGATGATCACCCCAGGCCCCTTGGCAGAGCAGGGGCTGCCGAAGCCGAAGCTGCGCACATCGTGCCGGGTCAGCCCTTGGGGGCGCAGAGACCCAGACCACAGCAGCCAGCTGGCAGCAAACGGGTTTATCCTCTGCCACGTTTAACCTCTGATGTATTCAGTTTTTCCTCCGCTATCAAATAAGGAGAACGGTGCTTCCCTGTGGTGTGAGCTTCCACTGAGCACAGTTAATGCGTTGAGAGCTTTGCTGTGTGTCCAAGCACTTTCCAGGGGTCTTTTCCTTCACACACCATCACATAGAGGCTTCTGCCGTCCCATATACTCAGTGCGTTGCCCAGGGCATCCCAAAGGAGGCTCAGCCATAGGATCTTTTTTCTGTGCTCCCTTCGCTGGCAGCATCCCTGTTCCCACCTCGCTGTTTTCCTTCCCAGCCCCATGGCAGTGTCTGGTGCTGAGCAGCCACAAAGTCCAGCCCGTGTGCCTGTGTCCTGCTCCCCTCGGTTCCCCCACCCATGGGGTACTGGGTGAGGGTACCGCCAGGCTTCATCATCCGCCTGCACCCGACCTGTCCTAAAGAGTGTGCGGTGCATGCAAAGCCTTTAATGTGTGAGACTGGAATAGTTTAAATCCTGGATATTTTTCCTGGATAGGGGTACATACCTGTTAGCAGGGTGACACAAGTTTTGGCTGGCCCCAGTGTGATGGCTGACGTGATGCTGGGGCTCCTTTTTGGTGCTGGTGACCATCCTGCCCCAGGAGTGGGGAGGCTGAGCCATGGCACATGTGCAGCCGAGGAAAGTCAGAAGCAGCTTGTAAAGGGGGATTATTGGGCTGGAAAGCAGAAACCATGTGGAAGCCGCGTTTGGAAAAATTCATGGATTGCTAAAGGAATCTGTCTGGGAAGCAAGGTGCTTGGAGAGGTCTCAGAAGAGGGTCAAGGAGAGAGTGAGCTCCTCGTGGGGAGGAGGAGGGGGATGAAGGTGGGGACAGAGGACAGGTGTCTGGAAAATCCCAGTTTTGGAGCAGGGACTGCTGGAGCAGCAAGGGGCGAACCCAAGCTGTGACCCAGCCACCCAAGCCAGGCTCAGGCAGTTTGTGTAATGATCCTGGAGGCCAAAGAGACCTCCCCCTGGGCTGCTGCCCTCCTTGCCACACCAGGAGCCCTCCTCTGCCCATGCCCCCCCTCGTCCCCTTTGCTCAGGACCTCTGGCAGGGACTCGGATCAGACTGCTTCCCGCTGACCACTAAGGGACATCTCTTCGTCTTGCAGGTGACTGGAGAGAAAAGACCATCAACAGACTTGGGCAAAAAGCCCAAAACCCAAAAGAAGAAGAAGAAGAAGGATCCCAATGAGCCCCAGAAGCCCGTGTCAGCCTACGCCCTGTTTTTCAGAGACACACAAGCAGCCATCAAAGGGCAAAACCCCAACGCTACCTTTGGAGACGTATCCAAAATTGTCGCATCAATGTGGGACAGCTTGGGAGAAGAACAAAAACAAGTGAGTTACTGATCTCTCTTTCTCTTTTTTTTTTCTTTCAACTGTTTAACTATGTTTTCCCACGGCACAGAGCATCAGAGCCTACCCAGGCACGTTCGGAGTGTCACCAGGGGCTTAAACAGTGCATGCACCGAAGCAGAGGCTGTTTTCAGGAGTGGTGCTGAAGTGCCTGCTGCCACTCCAAGTGATGCTCAAGTGGTTTGTGTGCCGCTCTCCCAGCCCCAAGGTGCTGCAGCGGTGACATGACCTGGCCCTGGGCCACCTCCCGGGGGTGTCCCGCACACAGGTCTGTGCCCACCGCGTGCCCCAAGGCAGGGCAGGCAGGGGGCTGCAGAAGGATGCACTTGGGTTTGCTTTGCCTCTGCCCCTTTTTTTTTAGAAAAAAATCTGTTGTGACATGGGGAAGAGCAGATTTTTTCCTGACAACTAATTCTTGTTGATAAGATTGTACTCTGCAAAAGCATCAGTGGCCTTGCCCTGACGTGGGGTTTACAGGCTCGGAGGGGAGATGGGTTTGTATTTGTGTATTTACTTACAAGGAGTGACGGCAAACCGGCTGAAAACTGTTAACTCTCTACATCACCAGCCTGAAATCTAATGCTAAGGCTTTAAAAGCTGAGGAAGGAGATGTGTGAAGTGGCCTCACAGAGGAAACCTTCCTGCCCTAAAGCTGTCAACCACTTTCAGTCTGCTTCAGACGCAGAGTTCTTGGTCCAGCTTTAGCTGTTTGGCTGATGCTGAGTCAGTTACAAAAGCCTGTAATTGCTCGTTGCCTATAGAGAAAACCCCAGGGAACACTTCCCGTAGCAAGTCTGTCTTTTTATCCGGCAGAGCGAGCTGTGACACTGTGCGGGATGTGTCTCTGAACCCAAATGTGCTCCAAGGGACAGTCCCCCTGTGAGCGGAGAGCCCTTCCCCTGGCCTGGCTGCCAGCGCCGGGCTGGCTCCCGCTCCCGATGGCACCCACAGCCAGCGACATTTGGGGAGGGAGCAGCAGGGAGGAAAAAAGTCATTGAAGTGGAAGCTATGCTAGGAAATAGCCTTGCTTTCTATCCCGCGCCAAGCTGGATGTAAGAGCCAGGCTGAAAGCCCTTTTGCTGATCCATCTGAAATCTCTGTGCTGTGCAAAGTGATGCTTTGATGTTTGCATCATCCTCCCTTGTCTCCTCTTTGGCCTGATCACTGGGGGATCCCACAGGAATTTCTCCAGCTGAAGAGGGGAAGGAAGGTCCCAGCACGAAGCCCAGGGCAGGGGCTGGGTTTGGGCTATTGGTGTGGGAGGTTCAGAGCATGGAAAAGCTTTCATGTCACCTCCTTCTCCTGCTTTTGTCCCTCTCAACATCTCGGTCTGCCTCTCCCTAACTCCATCTGGTCACGGATATCTCTGTAGATCGGGCGCTGGGCTCGGCTGCAGATGTGGTTTATCTAATGGAAGTGCTGGAGCGACCCTGGCTCAGCGCAGCGCAAACGCTCGGCTCTTAATTAACGGCAGGGATTAGAGCAGTGCGTTTATCTTCCCCGCTAACTCTCCCTTCTTCTCTTTTATGCGATAGTAGCAGCCTTGCCCCTCTCTTTACACACGCTTTTTAAGTGGCTCCATTTCTCCTTCTGTAATTGATTTAATTAAGTCATTTGTTCCCTGTCTGAATGCTTAAATATTAACTTCCTGGCTTTGTCTCCCACTGTATACGTTTCTCCCCCGACAGCTCTGTCCCTGCCTGGGACTGCGGCTGGAGGGCCACGGTTTATCTTTGGCACTGGCACTGGGTTGCTGGTTTGTGCGATGGGGCACGTTCGCTCTTGAAGTGTTTGGCTGGAGGAGAGTTAATTTAGTCCCTGTTTACTTTCCCCTGCCAGCATCCCCACTCAAGTTTGTTTAGGTTCATCAGGCAAGGCAACGGAAAGGAAAAAAGGAAAAAGAAAAAAAACAGTTAACAAATTGTCTTTAATACGTAAAAACAAATGCCTAGGATGTCCTTTCTCCCAAGCACTGCAGGACATGATGCACACCTTCACAATGAGGGCAAGCAGCCCATGCCAAGCGCTCTCCTGGCACATCTCGGGAGGGGACGGTGACTGAGCAGGACAGCTACACGGTGACACCATCACCAGCCAAAATCCTGCTGGGACCTGGGAACCCAGACTGCCACGTGGCTGCACCAGACTGTGGTTCTGCTCACGACCGGGCAGGAGCATCGTGCTCTGGGCAGGGGAGGAAGGGTGGAACAGGGCAGTGTTTCACCCGGTGTGCTGCTTCTAGCGCTAGTGACAGCAGCGGTTTGGAATATCTTCGTGTCACTGCAGGGAACTGTGCAGAACACAACCTGGGGAAAAGCCAACGCAGTGATGGCAAAGTTGGCAAACAAGAGGTCAAATCTGGAGGTTCTTGCTCAATTCAGACCAAGGTTCTAAAGAAAGCTTCCCCTCTTCCCAGCATGAGAAAAGAGGATAGATTTGAGGCTGAAGGATGTGATTTTGGGCTGGGATCCCTCACAGCCTGAGATGTTCAGGGTGGGGCTGGGCTATCGTGTCTCCGGATGGCCGATGTGCAGACCCTGGCCCCACCATGCAGTCGTTTATGTCGCTGTTAGTTTCTGCTTTGGATGAGGATTACAAACCTGATTTTCCCCTTCCCAGCGGGCACAGCATCTCCCCAGCCCAGGTCCCTGCCGGTGGGAGCACAGCAGCAGAACAGGCAGGGAGCAGCCAGGGAGAGGGTTTAACCTGGCCGCTAAACCCAGCCCCAGCCAGGGCATTTTGGAGCTGTGATCCCCCACCACGTGCCGGCAGCCCCATGGACACTACACGGAGCATTTCTGAGGCAGAAACGAGATGCCACCCGTTTGGCAAGTAGCTCAGGCCGGTATGGGGAGGGTTAATCCTCTGCCGCTGGTGCTGCTAATGATTACACGCACTGTGATATCAAAGCTGCAGCTATTTATTTGCCATTGAGCAGGTGCTGCTGCTCCCACAAAGCAAATTTGCTTTCTCTTCCTGATGCAACAAGCAAAATAAAGGTTGCTCGCATCCCAGTTCCGATGGGGTTTTTTCCCCCGTGCACCGGCTGAAAGAAACACCGAGTGGGAACCAGAATGCATATTATTCAAGAAACCATATAATCTTGGAGCATCTTTGATTTGGGTGCTGCTGTCACAGACGTGTTTCACGGCGAGGCCCCCCCCTTTCATTCTCCCTGCTTTATCATTTGTGCCTTTTGTCATTTTGTTCCTTCTTCTCTTCTCAGCCTCTTCACAATGAATCTTCATTTTCCCTCTGACACACTTGTATCTACATTTCCTTATTTCCTGCCTTTTTTTATTTATATCTGTTGCCTGGTGATTCGATCACGCTGTGGAATACAGGATTAGCCATCGCCGTGTCCTTGGGTACTGCTCAAGGACACCTGTTCGGCAAAGCGCCGTTTTCTTCCCCATTTTAACCCCTTCCAGCGTGGCTGTGCGTGCAGAACAGTAAGAAATAACAATACCTTTCAATATCTCCAGTGCTGCCTTAGCAGGATGTTGTAATCTTCATTCTTCAACAGCTGGCATGGCCCTTTCTAAGGAGCTTACATGGGAATCTGAAGAATGTGACTGGGGGAAAAAAAAGAAAAATATTAATACATACTCTTTGAACTTTGCAAATAGTTTAGCAGCTGTTCCTATAGAGATAGCTTAGACTTTGGTGGAGAGCGAAATGCTAATTCAGCCATTATCATCCAACAGGGTACCTGGCGGGGTAATCCGCCTGCAGCTCCGGGTCCCTGCTCCAGGCTCGCAGAATCCCGTGCCTCGGTGGTATTTTTTTTTTCATTAGCAGATACAGACCAGTGTTTGCAGCATTATCCAGTGAGGTTTAAAAGGGCTGACTGATTTGACAGAAATTAGCAGAATTTGAGCCCTAGATTGGAGCAAACTCTGCTAATTCATAGAATTGTGGAATCACAGGATGGTTTGGGTTGAAAGGGACCTTAAAGCCCATCCAGTTCCACCCCCCTGCCATGGGCAGGGACACCTCCCACTAGCCCAGGTTGCTCAAAGCCTAGGAAGGATCTTTTTCCCCAGCACAGACATAGTACTCACAGCCCAGTCCCAGCTCATGCCACCTGGACAGGCTGCCGCCCCCTCCCCTCCTTCCATGGGGCCACCAGCCCTGGGTGGCTGTCCTCTCTCAGGGGGATTTTATTTGGGAGATTAGCTTGGAAACCTTCCAGAGCATATTGAGAAGTCAACAGCAGGATTTGCTCTTCTCTGCCATGTTCTCTTATTCCCTCTCGGAGCACCTTCCCATTGCCCACTGGATTTTGGGGGAAAAGGACATTGGTTTGGAGCCTGGTGATGACGGAGTGTGGGAACACTGCCAAGGTGGCAGTTGCAGATGTCTGCAGGTGTTAGTCCGAAGGAGATGTGCTGAGATTTTCACAGTAAACGTAGCTTGGGTTAACTGGTTTTAATGGAGGGAAGGACAGAATGTCTTCCCCAAGAAGGCAGCAGGAGGGGTACAGAGGAGGGTACGAGGAGGTGAGGAAGAGCTGGGAAGGGATAAGGATGACATGACCATGTTTGCTAGATGCGTTTCTGATGTCCATGTGGGGGCCAGATGCAAAGAGGAGGGTGGTGTGGCAGACACAGCCGCGCAGGAGGAAGCACTTCCAAGTCATCTTATGAATAAGCCAGGAGTTATGATGATCTCAAGAGATATCTTGCAGGAAAGTGTATAATAGTTACAAGAAAAACCCTCCAGATTTACAAGCAGAATAAAATCCAAATTTATACATTTGGGGAAAAAAAAAAAAACCAACCCAGTCATGGAATCACAGAAAGGAGGGCAAGGAGAGACTTAAGAGGTCAACCAGACCATACTGCTGCCTGAAGTCAGGATCATCTCTACTTAAGCCATTCTTGATGGATGTGTGCCTAATCTGTTCTTAAACCTTCACTGGTGGAGATTACACATCTCCCCAGGCAATCTCCTCCCGTGCTTAATTATCCTTACTGTTAGGAACGCTTTCTCCTTGCTTAGCCAACATTTCCCTTGTTAGAATTTCAGCCTATTGCCTCTTCTCCTCTGTGCAGCGGCTGCAGAGGATGGATCCTTGCCTCTTGCTTTGCTGCATCGCATTTGGAGGCTGTGGCTCCTCTTGGTCTTCTCTCCTAGCTCAATACACTCCACTTCTAAGCGTGGAGGGCATTAGGAGGAGCTGTGAGAAGACCCATCACCATCTCCACTCCTTCAGCCCTCCTCCTGGAGACCTTTGCTGCACTTTTCATCTCTTCTCTCCCAATGGTCTGTCTCTTTTTCGAAGCAAAACGCCCCCAACTCCAGGCAGGATTGCAGCAGAGACCTTGTCACCTGGGATCAGTGGAGCCCTTGAGTTTTTGGGGAGAGTTTGGGTTCCTTTCATCCATCTCCAGGCATGGAAAGCAGCGTTTCTGCTCAAGCAGGCGGGCCGGGCTGCTGAGGTTACCGCTAACAGCTCCGGCTGTCATTCAGAGCCTGCGCAACACGGAACTGATCGTGGGCGTCAGCAGGGTTTGGGATAATTGTCTTCTCTAATTAACTGGTTATCAAACAGGAACATTTCATTACGGTACAATTACTAGCTGCTTTGCTGAGACACAGAGGTGTCAGGATTACGATCCCAACATATGCTTCTTACAGCTCGGATTTTTTGTTTTTGTAATCACCAACCATTTTTGCTCCCTCCCCAACCCACCCACTCGCTTAATGACTAATGAATCCTCCCGCTAACGAATAAGGAAAATAAATCAGCGGGCACAGCAGGTTAGAAAGAAAAACATGCAAACTGTTTTGAGGATCCTTAAATCTGATAAATTACTTTGAAATTAAAATCCCTGGGAGAAAATGGGATTTAATTAGGAAGTAACATGGTTTTGTCAATGTTGAAATTAAAATTTTAAAGGTTATAAATACGGCACTGGAGCTGCTGATACACAGAGGATTTGGGAGAGGTTTGGTTCGGATCCACTCTTCTCACGTCAGCGCGGCATGGCTGCGGTTTCGCTGCTCGGTGTCCCCCTGTGTGGGTGCGGGACAGGGCTGCAGAAATCCCGGCAGGAGACCCTTGGGGATGGGTTATTACAGTGAGGGGGGTGAGGCAGTGGCCCAGGTTGCCCAGAGAAGCTGTGGATGCCCCATCCTTGGAGGGGTTCAAGGCCAGGCTGGATGAGGCTTTGGGCAACCTGGGCTAGTGGGAGGTGTCCCTGCCCATGGCAGGGGGTGGCACTGGATGGGCTTTAAGGTCCCTTCCAACCCAAACCAGTCTGTGATTCTATGGTCACACACCAGATAATCCTGTAGGAACCCTCCAGAGGTGGAGACAGCATCAGAGGAGCATCAGAGGGAACCCCGCCTGGGCTCACCCTCTGACCCTGCTCCGCAGCCCAGCTCGTGGCCAGGGCTGGGGCCAGGGCTGGTCCAGGCAGCTCCTCCTTCAGGAGGATGCGCTGCTCGGCTGCCCCTTCCCCATCTCGCTGCATCCAACACCACCCAGCAGCACTTTCCAAATAGGAGTAAGGCACAGCGCTGTCTAAAAGAGACAAGGACAGACGAAGAGTGGAAAGCAAACAAAAAAAACAAGGGTGTAGCAGGAAAAGCAAGTGATGAAGATGAAGATAGGCACTGAATTTGTTAGTTATTTGTCTATTTGCATTTAGGTTAAGGGAGTCTCATTTTCCTGCCCTCTCACTGCCCAGAAATTGCAGATTTTTCTCCAGGCAAGTCTTCCTAATAATTGAATTTGTCTCCGTGGAGCTGTCCGTTCTTTGATTTCCCATTGTCCCTGATTTAAAAAAAAAAAAGGGGGAGGGGGCAAAAACACCCTTGGTATTTTCCTGCTTCAGAGGAAAAATATAAATATGTTTTCCATACACCAGCACCCAGCTATGGCCACAGCCTGCGATATTCATTATTTCATTGCTGTGTGGGCATCGGGTACCGCGTTTCAGAGCATCTGCTAGCGGCAGAGCGGGTGGACACCCCGTGTCGCGGCGTGACAGTGGGCATACACCAGCACCCAGCTATGGCCACAGCCTGCGATATTCATTATTTCATTGCTGTGTGGGCATCGGGTACCGCGTTTCAGAGCATCTGCTAGCGGCAGAGCGGGTGGACACCCCGTGTCGCGGCGTGACAGTGGGGGCTGTGGCGGGGGCCCCGGGGGTCGG